GTTAGATTTCTATAGGCTGATCATGTAAGCGATGTCAGTGAAATTAAATATACAACGAAAAAATCATAGATCGGTCAGAACTTAGTGAAAAGTGTAAACGAACGGAAGTCAAAGTCAGTGCTTTACGGATGTGCCGCCGCCGTGGACAATCTATTTAAATATAACTGTACATAAAAGTTTTTGCGTAAACGCGCATAGAAAGGAGTGCAAAGTATTTGTGTTATATTTTTTAAATTTATTTGCCGATAATCACCTCGAACTGCAGTCAAGATCTACAACAACTGTGTCGACTATATACTCGTTTTTCAGTCGCGCGATAAGCCAATGTGCTGCTTCAACTTGTAGGACATCGTTATTGCTGCTGTTATTTCCCTTTAAGAGCTAACGATTATACTACACTTGTTCGTTAATTATAAAAATTCCACGCCGCAGATGTTTTGTTTAGTCGCAAGCGGCACTGACCAGTGCAGAAACTAAGGCGACGCACAGTGGTCCGCAATGCTACCTTTTGGTTGCCCATATCGTGTTCGATACTAAATTAAAGGCAAAGCGTGAGAAAGTTTTGTGTTCATATATACATATATGTATTTTTCGGACGGTTTCATTCTTCACACTTCAAAAATTTGAAATGAAAATTTTGTCACAAGGCTTCCGAGTTTTCAGAATCTTCTAATTCTGAGCTTTCCAGCAGGAAACGTCGTCCCAAAACGCGATACGTATGTTCTAAAAAATTAAGTTAGTGTAAAATAATTTTTTAAATATACTTAATTTTTTTTTAATAATTACTGGCAATAGTGCGAAACCTATTAGATTGCCAAAGTTTTCCAGTAAAGACATACAAAATATTGGGAAAATAGCATTTTGAAGCCGTATCACACAACGATCGAAACAAGCAGCTAAATACTCGAATAAATCTTTTACAAAACATTGAATTGATATGTTACTGCAGTATTTCACAAGCTTTTCTTTCTTTACGAAAAAAAATTCTGGACAGCTGTACGTCCTCCAAGGTTTAGGTAAAAATTATGCAAATACATTCAAACTGCATTATGGAATACCTATCAGTAGTAATAAAATTTATTAAAAAGAATTATAGCTCTCAATATTGTCAAAACATGATTCTTCAATATATCAATCGAAATATACCGCTAATAAGAACCTCCTTCTTAGGATGCTGGAAAAAAATTAATTGAAATGTCATTCACATCTGGTACCCGTAGGGTATCCCTCACACGTATCAAGTGTCAAAATTAATTTTTTCGCATCTTCGATTTTCGGCCTCATGCGTGAGTTTTCAATAAATCCGGACCACTGTGCGACGCCGCGTCACCTCCAGCCTGAGTGTAACAAAGTATGCCGGCACACGGTTAGATACGCACGTGAAAATATGGTTTTCATTTGCAATTTTCTAGTGTTTGTGCTACTTAGTCTTCTTCTTCTTGTTCTCAGTATTTTCTCATTGGCTTAGCATTTTAGATTTTTTTCTAAGTACCTAATAAGTGGCAGAATATTTGACGTTGCGTATACGCGATTAGCAGTTGCAAGGCGGTGGGGTGGGGGTGTCGTAAAAGACTTGCAGCAACCCCACGGGATGATCAGCAAGTCACAGTTTGTCGTGGCATTCGCTGAGCTCTGTTGTGTTGTGGATCGCGCTCGTTTGCTTGTGTTCGTGGTGGTGTGGGAAAAGAGACTTTTTGTGTGCTTCTGGTCTTGTAATAATACTAAGTACAGTGTGGCAGTATAGGCACGGGGGGAGGAAAAAATAATACGTTTTATTTTTACTAATTTATATTAATTGCTGCAATTAACTAAAAGTGCAATGATATGTTAATTGCACTGGGGGAGAACAAGAAATTTATGGAAATATACAACAGTGTGCCAAATGTATTCAAAATGCCGAATGTGTTGTGTGCTGAAAATTTGCGGAAATTTTTAAATGCGTAAATAAAGTGCAAATATTCGTATGTATGTATGTACATATGTATATAAAATCTTCAGCAAAAAAATCGAATATGCGAAATTTGTGGAAAAACTGAAAATACGGTAAAAAAAAAATTAAAGTTGGAAAAAATTAAAAATATAATTACAACTTTAGGTGGTAAGAGCAAAATGTATTGATAAAGGATTGAGACGGTTGAATATTAATAAAAAAATATAAAGCGATTGAAACTTAAATAAAAAAGAGGGACAGTGCTGTCTTCGGCTCTACCAAAGTCTTCATACTTACGGTGAACATCCGTCCTTTATTTTAAAGGACAGTCCTTTATTTTAACCCCCTGTCCTGTATAATTTCATATCAAAATAAAGGACGCCTTTTGTCCTCTATTTCTTAAACCGTCCTTTAAATCAGCTCTGGATTTTTTAGAGGCAAATTTTTAAACAGAGACTGTGAGAAAATAAAAATGGTCCTTATAAAATATAAAAAAAAACCTTTGCCAGTTTGTTCCGCACCCCAGTTAAGGGTTTCTATCTACGGTAATCTTTGTACTATCTATAAATCAAGAATCGTTGATAGAAAAATTAATATACTTTGAGTAAAATTTATTGTTCCCAAAAGCGCAGCGAAAATTGTGCCCAGGATCGTGTTGCACGCCGAGTTTCCAGTTCCACTGAAAGAGAACAATACCCACGCTGCACAGTGGTTAAAAACTTGCATTTAGGGCTCATAATTCACTGAAACCTTAATTTTTCACTTAATTTGATTATTTATTTTAATTAAAGCTTATATAATTTGCAAGAGGCCTGATTTGTGAATTTTTATTTGACTATTTATTAGTGCCAAGTGCATAAAAAGTAGCAATTTTGAAAAAAAGTATATTCTCCTGTTCCAGTTAATAAATGTTACATAAAAAAAACTAGTTGATAACAATAGCGAACAAAAAAAAAAAAAAAAAAAAATTTTAATAAATATTATAAAAAATTTTCACCAAAATTATTATTTTTTGGTTTTTAGTAAATATTGGGGTATGCAGTTTTGTAGATCATTAAATTTTAGTGTAATAAAGTGCAAGTTGCAAGTGGCTATGAGTTTGCGTTGATATAACAAACGCTTTTATTTCCGATTTAACATGCAGATGTGCTGAAAATGTTTGCGAAAAAAAGTATAAAAAATTAAGGAAACCTTTTAGCCACTTGCAACATGCATTTTATTACACTAAAATTCATAAAACTACATATCCCAATATTTACTAAAAACCAAAAAAAAATTAAAAAATTAATTTTGGTGAACATTTTTTATATTTAAAATTTTTTTGCGTTTTTTTTCGTTCGGAATTGTTATTAACTCGTTTTTATTTATTGATCTATAAATCTGCATACCCAAAATTGTTCTAACAACTTTTTTTAAAAAATTTCAAATTTTTTTTTGTGAAATTATTTTTCGTTTTGTAGGAATCCTACAATTACTTTCAATTAGTTTTTATTATGTAACATTTATAAACTGGAACAGAAGAATCGATATTGTTCAAAATTGCTACTTTTTATGCACTTTAAAAAATCGGGCTCAATTGACCTCTTGCTAATTTTATATACTTTCATTAAAAAAATGTTAATGTAATTGGTTGAAAAATGTAGTCTCCAGTGAATTTTGAACACTAAATTCCAATTTTGAGCCACTGGGTGCTGGCTTCGTCGTGTAATATTGATTACGATAAACGTATTTTGGCAGCAAAGGATGGCGAAGGATTTGGTTTCACTATTCGGAAAACGTCAAATATGCGTGCGTCAAACACGGTTTATTTTTACACTACTTATGACGTATTTTTTAACTTTTTTATATAGTGCCATTCCTTTTAAAAATGTGTCTAAAAGAAACTCTCGATTTCATATCAATACCTCATTTTTATATTCCATTTATATTTTCTGTAAAGACGAAAGATATTCCATTGGCAAATTTTCACTTGAATTAGATTCTTTAAAACAGCGGACACCCTGCTCAAAACTGTTTTCGTAATAAATCTTTTTCAATCTGTATAGTTTGACCTTCGTATAGTAATATTTCAATAAAATACCTGATTAAATTTTATACGACATTTAGAGGGGTGCCAATGAGTTTTAAAAATATTTCCAAAATAAAGCCTTGATTGTCATTTGTAATGTTTCATTTTACATATTGATACAATTTAATTCAAAAATATTTTCGGAACGAAGCGTACTTATACCTTTTTCGATTAACATCCATATTGAAATACGCCATTCAACTCATGATAAAAATATAGCAAGGTAGAACCGTTCTCTCAATTTGTCGGCCATGATTTTTTTTTGAAGTTTGCCAACATTTTAAAATCATATAAAAGTGAAAATAAAAAAATGAAATTGTTCGAAATTGTTGTGCTTGAGATTGAAAATGAAAATGTGTGAGTTTGTGAGTAAATTTAAAAATTAAATTGTTTGGAAACGTCAAGAATTTTAAAAGTGACTCTCAGCGGTTCTACCTTACAATATTTTTATCATGATTCAACTTATTGATAAAATTGAATTTTAATATTTTAATTTTCAAATAGCTGACAATCCTGTAAAAAAAATTTCGTAAATTAATCGCGTTCATTTGGCATCTATATTGTAAAATTTAGATCAACTTATAGTTTAAAGTACAATTTCATTATTTAAGCAGCACACATCGCTTTTCAAGGAATATGCTATATGTTAATCCGGATCATAAGCTATCTGTATGCCAATTTTAAAGCAAACAAAGACCAACCAACATACTCGCGAGCTTTCACATATACATATTATACATATTAGTAGAATTTTATTCAACTTGTCATTTTAGTGCTATTAATTAGTTGGAAATTTAACAAAATTAGTAAAATAAGTGACTGCAATATTGTTTCGAATTTGGTCTAAAATGCTATTTCCGGCACTGAATGTACATATTTCACAATTGCATATACATATATGTACGTATAGGCATGTAATACAAAAAATATAAAAAAAACATGTGTTTTCCCAGAATAAAGATTACATACTTTAAAAAGATCAACGCGATTCATATGATTAAGAGTTCTTTGAACTCAGTACATTGAATTAAGGCTGTCAACTTCGATTTTCAACATCAATTAAGCAATAACCTTGCGGATCTGTTACAGTATTCTGTGATTGATAAGACAAAAGCCATTAAACAACAGCTTCAGAACATTTCGCGCCAATCAAAATAGTACAATGTAAACAATCACAGTGAATATTTCAATAACAAAGAGCGAAGTCGTAGCTGCAGTAAAATAATTATTTCAGCTTATGTGAGTGCCTACAAGTATTATAGTTCCAGCTTAAGCTTACTGCCATACCTATACAAAAACGTTGGGCGGAGCGTTTTCTGGCGCCTAGCGTTACCGCCGAAGTGCAATGCCTATGTAAACAAAAGCGGCAACGCTACGCCAATTAAGAACTAACACAAACAACAAGCATAGGTTTGTTTGTGTGAAATGCGAAAATGACAGTTTTCTGCAGACAACTTCACTTCTTAACGCCCTGTCAAAATCGGATTTTCCATCCGCTCAGCGTTGACGCCGCGTTATTTCGGTATGCTTTATACAAATTGTATGAGCATGAGAATTTTTTTTGACGGCCAGACAACGCTGACGCTTTAGTTTAGGTATGGCAGTTAGAATCCAGCTCTCAAGAAAAATCACAAGAAATATTTTTCATTATTTTGGTTGCTGAAAAAAGCACTTTGCTTTTGCTGTAAATTTTCTTAAAGAAATATATATGCGAACCAAGGCATATCAATGAGGTAGTAGCATTAAAGCAAAAATAACATTTGCGTGTATTTTGTTGTTGCTTCCGGTATCGAAAGTGTCAAAAACGGTTCTGATTTTTTTCTTCTAATTCATAGCGTGCCATGCGAAATGCAAAAAAAAATAAAAAATTGCAATTCGAAAAAATGAAAATTGTTGCAACTTTCTTTCTTCTCGAAGCATTGATCCATCCTTTGCATGGCCCAGTAATCAGCGGTTGTGCTGCTGAGTTGGGCGAGCGTTCCAAATGTTGCTATTCAATCGCTTGTTTGTATGGAAAATGGTTTCACATGCAAATAGATTTTATCAATTTGGAATTTTTGTGAGAAGAAAATAAAAATATTTGAAATTTTGAGACCAAATAATTTGAAAAAAAAAACAAAATCAAATCAGCTGCTGTACTGATACTGCATGCTCAATATGCCTTGATGCCTTGAAAATTTTTTTCTTGAGAGCTACAAACTGATTTATGGGCGTGTGAAGCGGTAACAAAGTTCTATGGGGAAACTGTTGAATAATATTTTTACTATGGTGAGAAAGTTTTGCCAATCTGCTGAAAGATTTATTGACAACAGTAAATTTTTGATAACCGCAAATTTATGCCGAATAAAATATTACAAATTGAAGTGAAATTAATATTTTAAGAAAACATCTGCCATCGTTGATTGCAATTCATCAATTTAAGCTTTCATTTAACGAAAAATTGCGCACATCAACAATCGTTGCGATTGTCAGAATTTTCTATGCATTTGTCAAAAATTTCACTAGCCTCATGAGCTACTCAAATTTTATTCACCTCATAGTTTTCAAAAATTTACTCGCCGCGAACTTTGTTACCGCTTCACACACGCTTTATGTAAGAAATTTTGATAAAATAAAATTTCTTTTCCATTTCTTGTGCGTCATTTTATATGAATTTTTCGTTTTTCTTGACAGCTGGAAACAGCTCTTAAAAGTGAAGTGACAGCGTAATTAAAATTTTGCATACGGTTTAGACTTGTTTAAACTCTTTTCCTACCGCAGTAAAAACCAAACCCTGCATCAGCATCGTCAAAAATGTTGGAGCTGGATAAAATTTTGGAGAAATGCGGCGATTGTCATCGCTTGCAGGCGATTATGTTGCTGCTATTTTGCATCATCAATTTGCTATCGGCGCTGCATTACTACTCACAAACAATCATAAGCTTCGTGCCGAAATATTGGTGAGTCACATTACATTCAGTGTTGCCGAAAGTACTAGGCTATTTTGTCATCCATACTCCCGTACTCCCCAAGGACCGATTATACTACTATTTTATGAGATAGTTAACTTTTTAACCGACTTCAAAAAAAGGAGGAGGCATCAATTCTTAGGAATTTTTTTATATACATATGTTACGACATAACTTATAACTTTGGACACGTCAACCGACCAATTCTTCTTTTAGCTGAAGAGTGCTTGGAATAATTTGCGGGCACATTTTTCCTTCCACGTCTTGGTAAAGCTTAAGCCATATTACATCAGTATTTAAAACTTGCGACTGCAGTGATGAGATTAAATTGGGTATAAAACTCTTCAAATCTTGTAAGAAAAGCTCTTTTGTTGGTCCGAACGCATAACACGTGCAGAATCAGCATTTAAGGTCTAATTACGGATACTTCACATAACTTCGCACATCCACTGGTAACACTGCAATTGAAATGCCACTTAAGAAAATGTGAGAAATAATCCAAACTGAACAGAACATAAGGTTCAAATGTATTCCAACCGTAATCAGCGGTTTTTGTCTCGTGAAGTGACCACCTAGGAATTCGAAAATTGGTCTGCTATCCTACTAGCTCAATGGAGTCGACCCTCGAAGCCTCCCTGAATAAGCCTTGCTTAGTTCTGTAACTGAGTGCGAGCTATGTGCGGGTCCTTTTCAACCAAATGAGCAGGAATTCACGTGTGGCCTGTCACTCACTTGTAGTGATAGAACTTTTTAGAAAAGTATCTATACTAGTACTCATATAGAATACTCTAAAAAAGAATCGATGCCAGTACTCATACTTGCAAAAAAGTATCGATAATACTCGTACTTGCAAGTATTCTCAAATCAAATGCAAAAAGGAAAAAATATCAGATTGCTTTGCTTTTTCACCCCATCCTATTTATAAATTGAATACTGACTGTTTTTAATAGTTTTAATCTAATCTAAAGGAGTTTTTGGCAGGGACGTGAACCGGATGAAAAATTTGGTCGGTACGGTTAGAACCGTTTTTGCACTTTTGGATTGGTTCATCAAAGCGGTTTTTTTGGTCTTTGAACCGGGGTTTCGGTTCGGTTCAACGGTTCGAAAAACAAAAAAATAACGCGCAAGTTTAAGTGTCAAGTGTCAAGTGCAACAACGCGCAAGGTTAAGGGTCAAGTGTCTGTCAAATGAGATGGGTTGCCTTTATATTTGATATTGTCACATGGTAAACAAACATGGTAGGTATTACCATGTTTAACAAAAAGAAAAAGGCGGGTACATTTATCATTGAAAATCGGTTGAAACGAACCTTTAAACCTTTATAGAAAGTGGTAAGGTTTTCGGTTCGGATCAAACATTTGTGGAAAAAGCAAAAGACTAGAAGCAAATGGGGTAAAGCCCAAAGATAAGCTCTCTTTCGTAAACATTTTCTTCAAGAATGGGCTAGATTTCGAATTCACAACGAAGGTAGAATACATGGGTTAGCGACGGCTGCCTTATGCTAGAGAGTGGCCAAGTTCTCGAGTCGGAAGACCACCCTCTGCCACCATTCATTATCAAAGGTGAGGCAGGATATTAGTTTTTCAATTATTTAAATATTTTTAACCGAACCCAATGTTGAAATGACCGCTACATTTTCTTCTAGGTTGTGTAAAAATTTCATAACTAAGTCAATTACCAGTATCACTAGAACAAAATATGTATTAATTATTAGTATGGAGTATACATATCGTCGCCCGGGTGCCAAAAACATGAATGTTTAGAAATGAAAATTTTGGGAAATCAAGTTTGAAAGTTTTTTTTTTACGAGATTTAACTCTATATTTATGCAATCAAAATTGTAAAATAGTATCGACCCCTTTGCGCAAAATTATCGTATGTTACTTTTTTTACGAAATTGACTTTTTGATGCAACTTTGTTTTACAACCCATAACGCATCACCTGTTCAAAAATTACGGCTTAAATTCCAATAGCTACCCCTAAAATTGACTGTAAATTTTATCGTATGTGACAATGATTTTTTTCTCGTGGACGAAATTATCATGTGTGCTAAGAAATAGAATGTAGAGACCTTTCTACAAAAAATCTTGCGTTTAGCTATATTTCTCAATTATCTCAGCAAATCTAAATATTGGTATTGATGGTGCTAGCCAAAGCAGAGAAAAATACAAAAAATACTTTCCTGTAAAATTTGGTTTTTGTAATGAAATACGAAATACGATAATTCTGGGTTTGGTATAACATAGAACATCCAAAGGTTAACCAAGTCAACCTAATAACTCAAAGCTGATAAATTTGCACATTCATGCTTCTGGCATGAGGGTGACGATATGTGAAGTTAAAACTTTAAAGGCGTTTTCTCGGGGTTTCGGTTTTTTGAGTTATGACAGTATTAAAGTAAATGAGCTTTATGTTCATTTTTATAACATTCATATTGTATATTGAAGTTAATTTTCGAACGTTCGCCACAATATTTATTGGGTAATTAAAAAAAATTTACTTAGAAAATTCTTAACTCGTCAATACTTTTCGGCATTCGCGATATTTACTCAGTACTTGTGAAAAAGTATCGAGTTCTCGATACTACTCAGTACTCATGAAAAGTATCGATATTCTGTACTCGGTACTCGTATCGTTCTATCACTACTCACGAGTATGTAGATAAAAAAAGTTTGTTGTATGTATTTTAATGAGACTTCGTACAAAGGGGGGTTAAGCTAGCTAATTACAAATCTTTTGTCAAATTTGGAAAATTTAAAATGACGGATGATTTAAAAAAAATCATAAAATTGTTTATGAAACTGTCTATAGGGGGTTTTGGGGTAGCTAGTTACGAAACTGAAGTCATATTTTGAAAATTAAAAAAGGCGGATTCAATATGGCGGATGAATTATAAAAAATAATTATTTTCATGCATACATACATATTTTATATCGGCTTCTTATCAAACAATGGCAAATATAATCCATGAAAAATAAAACAGTATGTGCAAAACGAAAAGCTGAAAATCTAAAAATGCTTTGGGAAAAGCTAAGCTTCAAAGCAGATAACCTGAACCAGGGAGTTCTGGTAATGTATAGTACTGGTGAAAATACAGCCAGAATAGCATTAAAAAATCACGATTTATTTGCAAAGTGCCTTAGTCTTGATAAGAAATTGCTCAGAAACTTCAAAATCATCTTAGAATGTATATCGTGTCTATTATCTAGTTAAATAATGAGATCCGTTTTAAGGCGTTTTGTTTAGAAAATGCTGTAGTCTACATCAAAACCTATAAGGCACAGTCCTCTGCTAGTAGGCTAGCAGCTGAAGAGGGTTTTGAAGACACAGCAGAATATTTAATAGATCAGCGACTTCAGATATTTTTATAGAGCAGGAGATTCAACAGATCCCTTAATCTCAAGTAAGAATTTAAAGAAAAATGTTTACGATCAAAAATGCCTCAAATTGTCTACATAGCTTTACTTGATGTTCCAAATATCAGGGAGACTAATCAAGTTGGCTCAGATGACAGTTATTCCTCCGAATCTGAAAATGAAGAGAAATCAGAAAATGAACTCCTCGATGTGGAACTTACAAACAAAAAAGAAGAAATATGAACTAAAAAAAAGTAAAAAAGGGGTATAAATATAGCTCTGCAACCTCCACGTGATGGACCCTTAATACTAAATTTATCGTAGGCTAACTGCAGGCGTTATAGTAAAAATTTGAATTCGTTATAAACCAGTTAAAAAAAAACCTTTGCATCAGGTATTATAATAATTCAATATTTTGTCTAATACACTCGACCGCCATATTAGATTCATTATTTTGTATTTGGAGAAACTAATCACCTGAATCTTAAAGATTCGCGTTCTTTTCTTCTTTTGAAGAAAAATAAATGATATTTTCTACAAAGAGGCGGAACGTGAATTAAAAATAATTTCAATAAAAAGAAATAATTAATCAATTTGTTTGAAACTTGGGCCAAGTGTGCCTCTATTTATCTATAATTAGATAGTCCATTCAATAAATTTCAAAACTTTATTTTGGGCAACTTTCGCTATTTTTGATTATCTGCTGGCCCATTATCCAGTGGAGAAAATGAAAGTGGTGTAGGAAAAATCAGTCTACAGGTCTAAATTTTCATCCGATATTTTTTTATTTTTTTATAAATAAAAGAGCTAATGAAATTTCTTACCAATCGGTAAAAGCCAATTTTTGAAAAAGAATTGTATACAAAATTTATTTAAATTAGTAAACAATACGTCGTTAATAATTTGGTGTTATAAAGTAAAGGTAAATCGCTTTTAGTTTGTTATAAACATTTCATACGACCACCTTCATTTATCCCACTGTACGTCCCGTCGCGACGCGTTGGTCTGGTGAACTCGTATGAGAAAATTCAAATCGCCTCAAATCGAAGTCGTTTATTTCCATCACGTCATCCCAATACTGCATATCGTTTTTCAGTTCGTAAAATGTGCTTCTCATCCAGTATCGAGTTATTCGGCGCACAGTGATTTGAAATCAAAAAGTAGGGTTTAAAATAGCGGTGCTAGACATTTGCTTCCACATGAGTAAAGAGTGCTCGAAATGGCAGCAAAAAAAATATTTAAAATCAACTTGAAAATTGCACTTTGCACACCTATTTTTTCTGAAAATTTGAATTTTTCTGAAAATTGAATTTTCGGTGATTTTTTTACAACATTTCAAATTTTTTTTGTGCGATTTTTTCTCCATTTGAGGGAACCCTGTAATTGCTTTCGACTAGTTTTTTTTATGTTAAATTTATTATCGGGAACAGGAGAATCGATTTTCTTATACAAAATTGCTAATTTCTCTGCATTTTGCACAAACAAAATTTAGTATAAACAAAAAAAAAATCAAGAATCGTTCTCGACAAACCTTTTTCATTTAAATTTCATCAGCTTTCATTGAAAAAAAAAAATCATTAAATCGGTTAAGAATTGGTATCTCTACGATATATTGAAAACTACTCTTTGATTTCAGACCACTGTGCGTCAGCCCGCTACGCTACTTAGGAATTAGTAAAATAATTTAAAATATATTTTTGGAATATATATTTTTTTTAATTCCTTTCGCCAGGTGCCTTGATGGCTACACGGATCCTATGGATGCCTATGCGGAAGCTAGCAAGCAGTCGGACTCATCATGCCATCCACATCGGTTGGCAGCTGAGGATGATGCTTTGGCGCCAACGAATTTTTCAGCAGTGTGCCAGCACTTTGACTATGAATTGTATATGGGTTATCAGAGCTTCACTAGCGAACTGAATTGGATTTGTGATCGCGCGTGGCAAGCAACGCTGGGGCAGTCGATGTTTTTCGTTGGCTCAGTGGTGGGCAGCCTGCTCTTTGGTTTTCTGGCAGACAGTTTGGGTAAGCTAAACACACATTTTTTATATACTTCTTTTTTATGTTCAAAATTTCATTGCATATGTATTTCTTTCTTATCTCCTCAGGTCGCCTACCCATCTTGATTGTTGCAAATATTGTGGCCATGGTTGGCAATTCTCTGACGGTATTTGGCACAACGCTGCCAACATTTTCGCTATTTCGCTTCTTATCCGGCATGGCGACAGATAGCAATTTCGTTATGATGTATATTTTGGGTGAGTGTGGAAGAGAGCAATTTAACGAATTTAACTTGAAGTCAAAAAAGGTAGAGTTTTCTAAAAAATTCGTTTTGAAAAGGTTTCAAATATTCCTAAATTATTTTTAACGAGGCGAAAATATAGAAAGCGTATCCCCAAAGCTCAATTGGTCTCAAACAAGCTAGTCCTCCTGTTTTCATGTAGCCTTCTCCTCCCGGTTCGGTTTGATAAAGTTCGTTACAGTCCTGATGCCGTTTGTAAAGTTGCATCAATTTGGAATCATCTCTTTTTGTATGTTGTAGGTTTAAAACACCCCACTCTAAAAAATTCCTTTAAATTTTAACTTGCCGAACAGCATTTTTTATTTGTATCCATTTTCTTTGAAATATAAATATTTTTCTACTGTTAATTTAATTGATTAATTTGTTGAATATATTTAAGAAGCATATGTTTATTATTATCCATTCGATTTTAACATCAATGTCGCGCATCAATTAACAACTTCTTTAATACATACTAAATGAATAAAAATTCTTGTAATCCCTCCGCAGTAATGGAGTATTTGCGTCCGTCTCTGCGCACAATCGGTCTCAGCATCTGCATTGGGTTTTTCTATTGTCTCGGCTCAATGGCTGCGCCATGGATTGCTGTACTGTTGCATAGTTGGCGCGGCTTCCTACTCGCCACCTCAGTACCCTTTGCCATTGTGCCGCTCTTCTACTTCATTGTGCCCGAGAGTGTGCAATGGCTGATCTCCAAGCAAAAATACGACAAAGCCGTTAAATGTCTAAAGCGTGTAGCGAAGATCAACGGGCGTGCGGTGGAAGAGTCTGTCTATACGGAATTCATAGATGAATGCAAACGCAGTCAATTGCATACGAAATCTGGACCAAATCTCTTCGGGCTATTTGCAACACCACGCTTGCGGCGTAACACGCTCATTTTGTTTTTCAAATCGTAAGTTTGTTTATTGATTAGAAAAAGACAGATTACATTGCGTGTATGTGTGCATTGTGAGCTTTTTTTTTATCGCAGCATGGTCATCACTTTGTGCTACGATGCGGTGTCGCGTAATGTCCAAGGTCTCGGCATATCGCCATTTGTCATGTTCACTTTGAGCGCCACAGCCATATTGCCAGCTTGCATACTGCTGATCGTGTTGCAAGATCGTATCGGCCGCAAAGCGATGGCTTCCATGTCACTGCTGCTAAGTGGCATTTTTATATCGGTCACTGGAGCGATACTCTTCTGCACGGAACGTAGTGGCGGCGAGAAAGGTAATCGCTAATGTGTGGTAATAAATCCAGTATTTTCGAACAAAGAATTTATGCTTTTTTAAATTCCAATTTCAGATGTTATACTGGTAGTGGTTTTGTCGGTCATAGGTCGATTTGGTGTCACCGTCGCCTACAATTCGGGCGCTCAATATGCCACTGAGCTGATACCGACTTGTGTGCGCGGCCAAGGTGTGGCAGTGGTGCACGTCATGGGCTATGCGTTTACCTTCTTCAGCTCATATATTTTGTATACTCGGTCCTTCTTCCAACCAATGCCGGAGATAATATTGGGTATACTTTCACTTTTGGGCGCTGGATTGTGTCTGCTATTGCCGGAGACACTGAATAGGTGAGTGGAGTGAAGATTTTAATACATTACATTTTTTACATGAACAGGCGCATTCCTTTATTAATGAATGTTTCACATAATTTTTCGATTAAGTTTATACTTAGTTTCGTATTGGTTATTATTCGCTAAAACTGGATATCCGAGTTGAAAGTGTTGACAGTAGTAAGCCTATAATCTTCGCGGAAACTGTGGAAGTAAGAATCATATGAGATTCTCATCCCTACTGGGTGACTTCCTCTCGTATAATGACCAGTAAGTGCTTACACCAAAACCCGATAGCTGTAGTTTTATTATCATAAAATGCTCCAATGTCTTCTCGCGCCTATTTTGTCTGGTGTCCAGAATTCGACTCTCTTTAACCATAAGTGTCATGCCATTTGCATAGGCGAAGGTGAGTAGATCCATTCTATGCTGCTAACAAGCGCTGTCCAACATTGTACGATTACTACCCTGTCTTCTTAGTTCGCTTAATATGTTTTGAAATTTGATGAATATAAGCCAGAGACCAAAGCTCCCGATGAGAGATATGGCTCCTGCTCTAGGTCCACGCTGTAAGCTCTGCACCTCAATCTCCATCACATCTTTAACCTCCTTGCCGAAATAGCCTTCTGTTAGGCAGGCTCACATTTTTGTAGAAGCATCGGCTTTATCAGTATCGATCTCTACTATGGCTATAGTTAGGCAGTCGAAGTCCTCTAGGCCAAGTCATTTTCAACCTCTCGTGCCTCTAATTTGTAGGTTGTCGCTAGGACTTCTCGTTTTTAGCGTAGCTGCCGAACTTGGGATAGAGTATATTTTCGGATTCTTTCTTGATTTTAGAAGGTAGTGTTGTAGTGGAAACATGGAGTATCATTAAATCTTGCGTTCGTCTGCTCGGATTTCGATGCTGGAAAGAGTCCAGTGAAGCTCACAACTTTACTACGCAAAGTAATCACAGCTTTTACTTCGGAATGCAGGGAATTAGCACTCTATCCACCAATTCAAGTCTGTCGTTGTACCACAGGTTTTGAAGCTTCTAGATGGCTCACTTTATCCTTATGAGAGTACCCGTCGCTAATTTTGATGCCAATGAACCATTTCGCGCCCTCAAAAGAAAACAAGCGCTTGTTTGATTCCGTGTGGCCAAACTTAATCATTTGCCTCAGAAGCTCCGTCTATTTATGAGATGACATGGTTACTTCTTTCGGTTAACTTGATTTAGAAGTTCTTGCAGATTTGAAGTTCCTCTTAGGCTTCTTGGTCCCAGGGTTCGCCCGTCTACGGGTCGCTGCCAAACAAACTTCTTGTCTTTGGCTGCGAATCTCTTTTGTCGAAAGCCTTGCTGTTCTTCTGGCTCATTTTCGTCCCTCGTGGGATCTGCTACCGCACCTATCCTCTTGATGGTTCATAGGGCAGCCTCTTATTGCGATACAACCTTTTTTTATCGCTCCTTTACTGTTGCTAATTTTTGACGGGGAAAGTCAGCAGTCATTTCTTCCGTCGAACTTTCCGCTTCAACGT